GTCATTAGTGATTTTATGACGCGTCACGCCGGTTTCGAACCGAGCAAGTTCGCTAAAATGGCGAAGTTTCTGACTTGTATTCCGGAGGAATCCAGTTGGAATATCGATCGAAACGCCGCCTATTCTTACACCTTTTCTTAGTTTTCTCAGTCCCTCCAAGCGAATGTAGGGATAATACAGAGTGATTTATTCGGAGGAGGACCAGACCTGATAATTATAAACCAGTTACTAATTTACCGATGATAACGAAACATGGTGTACATGTACCTTTGTAGATGTGGAGATAATTTAGTTACATTCTCCTAAAGACACAGGCCGACAGGACGCTCCATCTTCGAGAACCTTACAACCTTCATAGCAGGAGGGATTTCAGCAATTTCAGATCGTCAGCAGTGCGATGTTTGTTTAGTGTTGCGAAATATAGCGTTTCTTTTTGATCTGTAAACTATTGCGATATTTATAATTATTGACCGCTTATGTCGACCAGTGGTCAGCGTTCTTGGCTACAAATAGATGTCCCGGGTTCGATTTTCGTCGCTACCAAATTTTCTGAGAAGTGGTGGGTCTCGAACGAGGTTCACTCAGCCTCGTGAGGATAATTGAAGAGTTGTTTCAAGGAAATAGGGGCTCCTGTCTTGAAAACCGAGATTAACGGCCGTGGGGATTCATTGCGCTGACAACGTGACACCGTCTATCCGCGAAAGTTGGCACTAACTTCGCCGACAAGCGGCGGTCGCTCGGTCGGTAGAGTTCGCTTGCGAAATAAAGCCAAGGATTTTTTTTTGTAATTATTAATTCGGGGCCTCCTCAGGTTGAACCATCCTGTGTTGGGTGAGCATCCCTTTTCAACCAATAAATTAAATGGAAGGAGGGGGAATTAAAGGCACATAAATGAAAGAAGACAAAACTGATAAGGAAGGAAAGAGCAGGAAAATAAAGATGTGACGAAGATAGTTTCTGACAAAAAAAAATTACTACCTCATGAAATCGATCAAATGCCATTTTATAACTAAAACTTTGAAGCGTGACTCTATCTAAATTAAAGTCATTCCTGTAACAGGCCGTGGAGGCCCATAGGGTTGTGAGACGTCGAGGCTCCCACATTTTCTAGATAATCGGCTTACAGATGGCGGTAAGTTTGTCAGCCTTAGGCGCTGGCCGCCCTTTACCCCCAGGAAGATTCCTGGTACTCATTTCTGTTAGAGGCTGTGCCGACCCCAAGGCCATAGTACGGCTGGAAGGATTAGGCAAATTGAAAAAAAAAAATCCAGTGACTTCATCGGGAATTGTACCCGCGACCTTCCGGCTTATAGCATGGTGCCTCAACCAACTGCGCTATCTCGTGCTACAAATTTCAATTTATACCTCACAGAGAACAAACTATGCGTCTTAATTACAGAGATCAGCCTCTTAATGTTGTTTAGGGATATAATCGCTTTTTATTTTAAATGTATTACTTTACTGTATAGAATATAAAAAGAATATTATGTGGAGAAAGGTGCAGACTTTTTGTTTTAAATGTTAAAAGCAGGTGTTGCATACAGTTACCACGATGATTTAAATGGGTTTTAGAAGAACGTAATGACTTCCTGCAGAGACGGGTTCGATTCCCTGTAGGCCCTAATGACTCCGCCATTTGTATGGACACAACTCGATCAGGATAGATCCGTTAATTGCTAACGAGCAGTAGTTAGCAGGTAGCTGATAGTAATATCGTAGAGAACAATTAAAAGAGAGACAGGACTATTGATTACATGTCTGGATTGGATTTTGCGAAAAAATCTACAAAGGCACGTTAGTTCACCTCCGTTCTTTTCAATGGACTCATATTATTGTGCAAGAGATAGTGGGCAGGGTTTGGTTTTGTCTATAGCAGTGATGTACAGGCCGCGGTCCGTGATATAATTCTATTCGAACACTCAGAACCACATAATTAACCAGAACTGAGCTAACACTTTTCTTCGTGTCTCCAGTGTTCGATAAGATTAGATTAATAACATCTCAAATTTCGTGACAATGTTATATTAATACAATTATCGACTTTCTGGACATCAGCCATGATAATGCTTTTTATTCAAAATAATTTCTTTTAGAATTGGTCTGTTCAGTTTAGCTTTCATTTTAGTCCGACTATGTTCTTACAGACTCTGGCCACTATATTTTGCATTACCATAGGTGTAAGACCTCATGAATGTGGCGTTTTGAAATATTTGTCTTAACTCTCGTAGATGGTTTATGTTGTCTGGTGTATATACCCTGCATTATGTTGGTATCGGGCTCCGGAGATACAGACTAGCTCTATCGATTGTCTGGAGGGCCTGCGGTTTTTCTCAGTCCCTCCAGACAAATACCGCGACTGTTCCTTAAATTAGACCACTGTCCCCTCCTCCCACATCTCCCCCTCCCCCCCAAGCATGTGACGCTACGTATGATCGGAGATTCTGAGAGCATCGACGAATAAATAAACATAATGTCTGAAACAGCCGCGGGTGCCGTTACCAATTTGCGCTGTTGCCATTTGAAATTATTTTGGTGACTGAGTTCCTGCTACGTGTGATTGTTGAGCTCTGTATTCATGAAATGCAATAGATCAGCTTGCAGCCACCTGCTCACGCTGGTTCATCGCTAGCGGATTTTTTTACCCTGAAGATGTAGGCTATACTTTCCACCGAAACTTCGGTTCACACAAGATCTACATGGCGCCACATCCCAGAAGACGGGATTCTTCATTATTTCCGCCGTGGAAACCCCAAATCTTACATATTTCTGAATGTGTTATGAAGAAACCTTTGTCTTCTCTTCTATCTACAAACATAAAATTAGAATATACAAAATTATAATTTTCCTGTGGTTCTGTATGGGTATTACACTTGATCTCTGGCATTAAGGGAGGAACATAGACTGAGGGTGTTTGAGAACGGGGTGCTGAGGAGAATATTTGGACCGAAGAGGGATGAAGTGACAGGAGGTTGGAGAAAACTGCATAAAGAGGAGCTTCATAACTTGTACTCTTCTCCAAGTATAATTAGAATGATCAAGTCAAGGAGAATGAGGTGGGCAGGTCATGTAGCACGAATGTGGGAGAAGAGGAATGCATAGAGGATATTGGTGGGAAAGTCAGAAGGAAAGAGACCACTGGGAAGACCAAGGTGTAGGTGGGTGGACCATATTAAAATGAATCTTGGAGAGATAGGATGGCATGGTATGGATTGGATTGATGTGACTCAGGATAAGGACAAGTGGAGGGCTCTTGTGAACACGTAATGAACCTTCGGGTTCCATAAAATGTTAGGAATTTCTTGAGTAGCTGCACAATTGGCGGCTTCTCAAGAAGGTTTCGGCTCCATGAATGAGTGAGTTATGAGTAAAAGTTTTCATTGATAACGGTATAAAGGTAATGATAATTATGAAGAGTTACAGCAGATCCTCAATTCATTTGAGGATCTGCTGGCTTCGGATATTTTTTCTTTGTCCTATATAGCACTAACACTTTAAATATTGTGTTAAAATAATATATTAATCCATTAGCGAATTTTAAAACTGGAGAAATATAAGAATTTGCAAGTTGTCACGGCGGTAAATATTAAAATAAAAATCTGACACAGTGCAGTTTGATACAAAGGCACAGACTTTCATTGAGTCACATCACAGAAAATATATTGTAACGTGTTTAGATACTGAAGACGCCATAGAGATTGTTAATTGGTTTATTTAACAACCTACCAGTCTCGGCTACAATTATTTATAACACAGTTGCCGGGTTTCACAATTTATAACCCTATTCGCAAATCAATTCACACTGTCTTCAGTAGTCTACACGTTTTTACAGTACGGGAGCTTTACAAGTGTAACTGTATCACACACTCCCAATTATTACTCAGTTACACACACGTGTCCGTAACTCGTACCTCGCCGCTAGCTAGATTCCAAGTCAACTTGTAGGTGGCTGCCTTGAGAACTGTCTTCGGCGCTGATACACTTTAACTCTCTCCGAAGACGGCTACAAGTTCACTGCTGACTGGAGAACTAACTCGTAGGCTTGCTCGGAACTGACTGTGAATAGCCTTCGCTGCTCCTTATGTGTCCTCGTTCCGGACAACACAGAACACGACCACGTAATGGGCACCACTGTTGTCTGCCGCAGTCGTGCTAGCAACACTGTGTACCGCTGTTATTACCGTCGTCTCTCGCAACCACTGTTTACCCGCTTTGCCTAGCAACCGCTGTGCATTGTTTACTCGCGTTGCATAGCGACCAGTGTGCTGGGACTCGGCTCACTTCGGCTCCGCTCGGCGCGTCACGGCTGGCGGGGGAGGAGGATGTTGATCTGCCTATTACCGTTGCGCAACACGTCACACTGCACCCTTCTTAAGGCTGTTCGTCCCGAATAGCCTAACGGTGCACCACGTTCGTTTTCTTTGGAGGCTGTTCTTGCAGCATCTTCCTTTTGTCCTGCTACTCTTTCCCCTCTCCCCGTTGCTCTGCTTTCCAACCGCTACATCTTCCCCCACTTTATGGTTGCTCGTCTCGAGCAGCTCCATGATAAGGCGCGAGCCGGTCGAGGTGTACAACCAGCATCCTCGACCTAGCGGTCTTCTGAATTCGATATACCACATCATTTATCCGGGTCACTACTTTGTAAGGACCTTCCCATGATGCTTGTAGTTTCGGCGATTTCCCCTTTCTGCGGGTTGGGCGACAGAGTCCCTGTTGCTCTGAGAGCAACAGGGACAGTACAGACAACCTCTTTCAACGTGACGAGAAACACAGAAGATAGGTCATAATCGTTCTGAAAGCAGCAGCAGTGATACTGATAGCCCAGTTCCTAGACCTGAGATGACAGGAAAATGGAAGAAATCGGCTACAAGAACGGAAGGCTCTCAGAGTAACAGCGACAGTAAAGACAGCCTGTTTCACGAGACCAGAAACACAGAAATATACGTCATAATCGTTTTGAAAGCAGCAGCAGTGATACTGATCGCCCAGTTCCTAGACCTGCGATGACAGGAAAGAGGAAGAAATCGTATCGCCGAACAGAAGGCTCTGTGAGCAACTCCATCAGTACAGACAGCCTCTTTGAACGAGACCGGAAGCGTAGAAAGATAAATCATAATCGTTCTGAAAGCAGCAGCAGTGATACTGATTGCCCAGTTCCTAGACCTGCGATGACAGGAAAAAAGAATAAATCGGCTCGCCGAACAGAAGGCTCTGAGAGCAACAGCGACAGTACAGACAACGTCTTTCAACGAGACGAGAAACACAGAAAGATACGTCATAATCGTTTTGAAAGCAGCAGCAGTGATACTGATCGCCAAGTTACTAGACCTGCGATGACAGGAAAAAGGAAGAAATCGGCTCGCCGAACAGAAGGGTCTGAGAGCAACAGGGATAATACAGACAACCTCTTTCAACGAGACCGGAAGCGCAGAAAGATAAGTCATAATCGTTCTGAAAGCAGTAGTAGTGATACCGAACGCCCTCAACACTCACCTACTGCAGAAGTACAGCGAACTGTGGATACTGATGACAAGAGTTACGAATTGCAGCCAAGTCGTGGTGATGAGTATGGCAGTTCTGATGAAGGACAAAAAGTCACTGGACATGCATTAGTTTTGTACCCTTGCAATGAACGAAATAAGAATTATAGTGAGAATTTGCTCAAAACAGAAATGGAGTCAGAGAAAGTTGCTACTGTTTCTGAGAGTGGTGCTCTTCCCACAACCAAGGACCGCGATACTGAAGCAGCATTGTCGTTATCAACGTCGTCCAGGGCCACAGCTGACATGTCGGATGACAATAACAATGAGCATTTAACAGAGAGTCCCATCTGCATCATTTGCATAGAAGAATTCATCATAAAACAGGTTGGTATTACAGACACTTGTGGTCATAAATTCTGCGCTTCCTGTCTCCAAGAATGGTCAACACATACCAATACTTGCCCAATTGATCGACTGACGTTTAACTTCATAAAAGTTCAACACCATCTGAATGGCGAAATTGTCAATAGCATACCTGTGAAACCAACAGATCAATGAATCCATTTTGAAGATAATGATCTGCTGAACCTAATATTCTGTCAAGTGTGTGGTTGTGATAGTGAATACTGGATACTCCTTTCTGATTGCTGTGGATCTGGCTACCATATGAACTGTCTGGATCCTCCTCTGGATGAAGTGCCGTCGGGTGAATGGTTCTGTCCTGATTGTCTTTTGTTAAACTAGATACACAGAACATTAGTGGGATGCCTCGCGACAGCAATGTGAACACTTCCTTACATTGGCGTATCACATCCTAAGAAGTGTGTGATTGCCTACAACCAAGATGGAGGCCAATAGAAAAACCGACAAAAAAGAAATGCTGGCAAGTATGGACGCCAACATGAAATCCTATAAAGAAGATTTAATGACAAAATTAGACGCCAATCAAGAAAAGGCGGCGACCGATAGGAAGACAGACATCATCATCATCATCATCATCATCAGTAATCTGTCAGACGACAGGTCCACAGCCTCTTCCAAAACAATTCCTCCACTTAATGCGATCTAGAGCTTTCTCCTTCAAATGACAGTATCCTCTTCTGTCCCTAAGGTCATCCAGCATCTTCTTACGTCTTCTTCCTCGTCTTCTTGTCACTTCTGGAAGACAGACGACAAAGAGGAAACAGCTGTAGCGTGTTTCGAGTTCGAATCTTGTTCGTCACCTGTGTAAGTCCAAATCCCACTTCTGACACCAAATGTAACGTGTTCAGACACTGAAGACGCCATAGAGATTGTTAATTGTTTTATTTAACAACTTACCAGTCTCGGCTACAATTATTTATAACACAGTTGCCGGGTTTCACAATTTATAACCCTATTCGCAATAATCTGTTCACACTGTTGCGGGGTTTCACAATTTATAACCCTATTCGCAAATCAATTCACACTGTCTTCAGTAGTCTACACGTTTTTACAGTACGGGAGCTATACAAGTGTCACTGTATCACACACTCCCAATTATTACTCAGTTACACACACGTGTCCGTAACTCGTACCTCGCCGCTAGCTAGATTCCAAGTCAACTTGTAGGTGGCTGCCTTGAGAACTGTCTTCGGCGCTGATACACTTTAACTCTCTCCGGAGACGGCTACAAGTTCACTGCTGACTGGAGAACTAACTCGTAGGCTTGCTCGGAACTGACTGTGAATAGCCTTCGCTGCTCCTTATGTGTCCTCGTTCCGGACAACACAGAACACGACCACGTAATGGGCACCACTGTTGTCTGCCGCAGTCGTGCTAGCAACACTGTGTACCGCTGTTATTACCGTCGTCTCTCGCAACCACTGTTTACCCGCTTTGCCTAGCAACCGCTGTGCATTGTTTACTCGCGTTGCATAGCGACCAGTGTGCTGGGACTCGGCTCACTTCGGCTCCGCTCGGCGCGTCACGGCTGGCGGGGTGGGAGAGGGAGGATGTTGACCTGCCTATTACCGTTGCGCAACACGTCATAATATGAACATTATCTTGATTTAACATAATTTCAAATTGTTCTTTTTAGTAGCACGAAACGATAGTCTGGCTAGCTTCTCATATCATACCAAAACAAATATTTATAAACAAGTATAAGCTGGATTATTTTTAGGAATTCAGATATTTAAACAAATGTTATATCCGACAGGGTCCATGCCAGAACCAACAAAACAGCAACGCTAATCCGTCCGTGTATTTTTCGATTTCATGACGATAATTATGAATAGTGCATAGGCTTATACAATTTGACTTAATGATAAATTACACCGCACAAAACATCTCTTTTCTAGATCAAGCAATATCAACGCTGTGCGTGATGTCAATTATTTCTCGTTCTGGTGGCGTAGTTTTGTCGTTGAGAGTCATGAATAGTTAGAAGAAGCGTAAGGAATTTGTAAATTTGTATTTTGATTATAAATATTAACAAGAATGGATAGGTGATGTCCTTACCAATCATATTCTACAAACAATTTCTCTGCAGTTTCGACCGTCTCTGTGGTCTAGTGGTCAGAGTTCCTGACTACAGATTCAGATATCAAGGGTCCTATTCCCGGCGCTACCAGATTTCCTGAGAAGTAGTGGGTCTGGAACGGGGTCCGCTCAGCCTCGTGAGGATAATTGATGAGCTGTTTCAATGAAATAGCGGCTCCGGTCTAGAAAACCGAAATTAACGGCCGTGGGGATCCGTTGCGCTGACCACGCGACACATTCTCTCCGCTAAAGATGGCACTAACTTCGCCGACAAGCGGCGGTCGCTCGGTCGGTATAGTTCGCTTGCGGACTGCCGGCCACGGAGTTCTTTCTCTGCAATTTCAGGTAAGTTATCTTCCCCTAAGTGTATTTATTTCACATAAAGATCTAACATCGTAAAGTTGATTGTAATGCAAATATTTGCATAATAGTCAGACACTGATTTTTCATTGTATAGCTCTGTCTTTATATCGAAGGGTTATGGGCTGGAAGACCGGGGTTTGAATCCCGGCTGGGTCAATATTTTTCTCTACTCCACAGGCTTCAGATCGATATTTTGGTCCACCTAGTCTCCTATCCGATGGATACCGTGGGCTCTTTTCCCCGGGACTAAAGCGATCGGGGCGTGAAGCCAACCACTCACCTCTATCTAATGCCGAGGACAAGACTAATGGAGCTATACCTCAATTCCCCTAAACGTCCTCATGTGATTGTACTTAATTATTTACGCATAGGGTAAACATTCCCTTCTTTATGTCGTTAGGCGCTTGAAACTTAACTTCATTACTCTGTAATCAGGCAAATGAAGAGCCGCTTAAAAATAAAGTCAAGTAAAGAGTGTCCGGAAGAAAGGTATCCAAAATAAAATCATTGTATCTCAAAAAGAATTTATTGTACACATTAATGGGTTAAACCATTATGAAGTGAAACTAACAAAGTCACCTTCAGCCAATTAATATCCCAGCCATCTCTCTGTCCAGGTGATTCCTAACATGACAAAAATGAGGCGACGTATGCGAATAAGCCGAGTATGAAGAAGAAATTCAAAGTTTTCCTTTCTGATGACATAAACCGGATACGTGTATGGCAATTAGTTTTGGAGATATATATTTTTTTTGTCTACATTTCATCCGGACACCCTAAATTTGTGGGTCTCTGTATTCTCATTTGTGCTTAAATCATATTTTAGTGGTAGGAGAGTGGCTGATCAATTGCAGAACACCTCTGAAAAAGTCCGGAACCTAATTTCAGAATCCAGACATACGGATACATGAAAGCGCAATATATCCTGGTTCCAAGTGGATCCGTTTTTGTTCTAAAATTATTGAAATAGAAATCGTGGAAGGACCACAATCGGGATTCAGATTCGAACAGGAAACTTCCGAAAAAGAATTTAAATATTTGCTGCTAAACGGCCTCTTCTGTTTCTGTAAGCAGTAAAAACGCCTCGCCATAGCTCAAGCGGTTAGTCACTGGCTTCCCACCGCGGCGGCCCGGGTTCCATCCCGGGGTCTGCTCAAGTGGGATTTGTGGGGGACAAAGTGGCGCTGGGGCGGCTTTTCTCCGAGTACTTTGATTTCCCCTGCCAATCTTCATTCCACCAAATTCTCCATCATAATCACCCGGGGCAGGTACAATAGGCCAATAAGTGGCCGCCGTACCGAGTGGACCCAGTTGGACTCCACGCCCCACTAAGCGAATTAAAAAGAAGCAGTTAAAAGGTAAATCTCTCACTGTAACAGGCCGTGGAGGTCCATAGGATTGTGAGTGGTCGAGGCTCCCACATTTTCTAGACAGTCGGGTTACAGAAGGAGGTAAGGTTGCCGCCCTTTACCCGCAGGAAGTTTCCTGGTACTCATTTCTGTTAGAGACTAAGTCGACCTCAGGGCTACAGGGCCGCTGGAAGCAGATAAATTGAAAAATTTAGTGACTTCATCGGGATTCGATTCCGCGACCTTCCGGCTTGTATCATAGTGCCTCGGTCGCGCCATACTTGAAACGGTTTGTCGCTGGCTTCCCACTGAGGTGTCCCGGGTTCGATCCCGGGTCTGGTCAAGTGGGATTTGTGGTGGACAAAGTGGCGCTGGGACAGGTTTTCTCCGAGTGCTTCGGTTTCCCTTGCCAATCTTCATTCCACCAAAATCTTCATCATCATAATCAACCGGGGCAAATACAATAGGCCAATCAGTGGCCAACTTGCCGAGTGGATCCAGGTGGACTCCACCCTCCACTATACGAATTAAAAAAAAAATCATAGTGCCTCAACCACTTACGCTACCGCATACCCCCTTTAAGCAGTAAAATGATAAAAATCCTTTCTCACGGGGGTGGGACGAAGTGTTATTATCAGATGCTGCTAGAAACTTAAAAGCGCAACAATATAGAGAATGTCCAAAGAGGAAAGGTCAACATTCTGGGAGGTCATAGTATCGGTTATATACATGTATGTATAATATGTCCTATTCTGACTAGTTTCCGAGATACAGCTATTTCACTGTACAGTTCCAAAATTGTTGATAAGAAAGAAATATTACGTACTGTTTCTAATAAAATAGAAACCATCTCTGTAACAGGCCGTGGAGGCCCACAAGGTTCTGAGACGTTGAGGGTCCCACATTTTCTAGACAATCGCTCACAAATGGCGGTGAGGTTGTCAGCCTTACGCGCCGGCCGCCCTTTACCGCCCCAGGAAGACTCCTTGTAGTAATTTCTGTTAGAGGCTGAGCCGACCCTAGGGCCATAGTGCGGCTGGAAGGATTAGGAAAATTGAAAAAATTCACCTCATCAGGACACGAATCCGAGACCTTCCGCCTTGTAGCATAGTGCCTCAACCAATTCTGTTTCAATACCTGTATCTGTTGTTCTAGTGACAAAGTTGGTACAGTTTACCCAGTATAATACATTTCCGAAAATTCCACCGTCAACATCAATGCACTTTGTAACTCGTGTGAGGACATGGCATGTTTTTCGTCTGTACAGTGAAATACTCGGAAACCGTTTGGTATAAGACATATGTACACATACACACTTTTGCTTAGAATGACCGATACAATGAC